TGAAAAGCACAACTGCATTAACTTAAAGTTTGTTTCAATCAAATCTGCCAATCCAAAGTATAAAAACTTGGTATCAGGCAAGTACATGCCAATTAATAACAGATAGCCTAATATGCACTGAAACATTAGAAATTATTCACATGTATGACCTGTTACATTAACATGGCAACAAGTCGTAGGATAAGCTTCAGTCAACATCATTGCTCAAAGCTTATGATGGAATGAATGACAAATTTCCATTAATGGCAAGACAACAAACAGCACTCTGGGTACAACATAGATGTAGCCTACACCTACACAAACAAATATAAAACTGAGGAGCAAATAAAGGCATTAGGGAACAAACAGCCCACAAGATGACATTTGATTTGACGTTTATATGACAAATTACTCTTATGGAAAATACTGTACATCTATACTAGTGGCAAAAACATACCAAGCTGGGATGAAATTACTAGCAGCGACATAGGCTGACTGTTGCATTGCCTCATGTCACCTTTGCCTGGGCCAGACGGGTTAAAAAAGTGGCACTTGAATACCCCGCACGCACGCAGGGTATTCAAGTGCCACTTGTCCATATTTTTTAAAATCATGACATAGAGGAGCAATTCTGGTGTTGATGGTTTTGCAGCTACATACCTCAAATTCTTCCCAGAATCCTTGTTTGGGCTTTTCTGAGTTGTCTGCTACTTTGTTGAGCTCTCGTACCCGGTTCTCAATGTTGGCTGCATTTATCCTTGTGGCATTAAATGGCTGTTGTAAATTACAAACAAAACTAATCAATCATTCTAAATTTAAAATTTTGCATGTGGTTTGAATTAACCAGCAAACTGCAACACATCTAAGCTTTAAAAGGTACTGCATGCTACTGTATATCCTTTGTATTTGTTGAATGCATCTTCCAAACCTGCTTGAGATGCACTACGATGCCACTTTTCTCTACCATGGGATTCTTCTTGTAGTGATCCACCAGGTCAGCCAAAGTATCGAACCTCTCACCTCCACCCACGTCATACTTACCATCCTGCCGGAGATAAACAGACAAACGACAGTTTGACTACAAATCCGAGGAGTTCCTAGAGTGTAAAGTTACATACTGTACATTATGACCTGCTTAAAAATACATGACTCAAAGCACCAACAATGTGCTGTGTTTGTTTGAACAATGAACTCTGGCAGGCCACACATTATAAGCTTCCATCTGTGGTCTGAAATGAGCTACCTCACCTGGTAGCGAATCATAACGTGGGTGACCTTGGTCTTGCGGTCCACATTCTCGTGTTTCTCCTCATTGGTGAGAACTGAGAGGACAAAGTCACCTGGCTTACTCTGGCTCTCCCGTACTAGGAAACTGCCAGCCTTGCCTTTGTCTGTGAGCAGTTTCTCTGCGTCTCGTCCGGAGAGGTGCCCATGATACCACCTGGAGGTGTGAGAGAAAACTATGATACAGTAGCTCCTCACAGTAATCACTGACAAACTATACACAGCATGTACACTATATAGCAGCTGGGCATGCAGACCAAGAACGTGAAAGGATCGTATCATATGATGTGTCAGTTCTTCAAAATAACAATTTATACATGTTAAGAACTGTTATATTGTACATTTGAAAACTAGGTTTATACATTGCTAGTTTATAATTTTTTATTACCAATTATAAAAGTGTTAATGTTTCCTTCATTTTATTTACTCTGCAATATAAAACACCTTAAACTACAATACATATCATCTTAAGTCTGTTTGATAGCCCATGTGCCTGAATTGCCCACCATCTTATTATTGGCTTAGTGATGTTTAGGACGTTCAGTGTCAAAACCATTTACTGTGGGCATCATACCATATTAGCTGGCTGTGTCTATTAAAATGAAGACACCAAATAAAAACTTGCATCTTACAAAGACTGGTTCAAAAACTGAACATCATTGTTTATTATTTCAGATGCCATGTTCACTGTGTGTTCTCCAGCTCCTGTGGAGATGAAGCAGCTCAGCCTCAGGCTAACTGCTTTCAAGCTAGATGAATTTTCTAGACAATTGAGAAGAACTGAGACAGAAACTCGACCAAATTGGGTTTTGGGGCGTGTTGGCGTTATGCTTCCTGCCTCCAGGGAAAAAGTTCTATAGTGTAGCTTTAAGGTTCAACTTAATGACTATATGTGCAGCGTAAGCGTATATACACCTACTCGAGAATGAAAGTGTCTCTTATTGCTGCAGCCTCACTCAGTTGCTGATGAAAAACCTGCATCTCTGTCTCTTTTTTTTTTTTTCCTGTGTGGCAAGCAAGAACGTGTAGGAGGCATGAAAAGACGTGGCAAATGCAAAAACCACATAAACCAAAAACACAGATCACGAGTCGTTTAAGACCTAAACAGAAACTGAGATATGCAGATGTGTAGAAAAAGTGAATGTACTGGGCTTGAGAGCATACTAAACACAGCTGGAAAGTGATCATTTTTTGATAAAGGTGTCTTTTCAACACGCTTCCTGTGAGTGCGTGAGCATTTGCATGGATTCCTGGCATTAATACACTAGCTGTCTCGGTCTCCTACTTTAAAGGCGAGTAGGTGTGATGAAGCTGTCTAAGCTGTGTATAGAAGGATGCTAGTGTGTGGATACTCAGTGAACATAAACAAAAACAGCAGCACCCCCACATAGCGTGCTTGAAAATACAATTTTATATTGTACCTAAACTGATCTCAAAACTGCTTCTGTAGATTGAACAGACCTGAAATGCATAGTAACGATGCTTTAATCTAAACTTTAAAAAGAATAATAAATGTGATGTGTGTCATGCCTCCAATCAAATTCAAGAAATCACAAGGATTTCATATTTTGCCCAGAGTTTTGTCCTCTGCAGGGTGGAAATGCCTCAAAAGCAGTATTTAGGCCATAGCAGGATACAGTGAGCAGACCAATAGCATTTCTCAACCACTTCTCATGGCAGGATGAAACTTTACAGGCTGACACCCCTGAGGCTATTAGAATAAAAATAAACAGTCTGGAAGAAACTTTAATGCAGTTTTAATGAATTTAAATAAACAAGCTTTGTACTGAGCTGCCTTGACCTTCGGTGTGTATACTTGTGTCCCTTTACCTGAATTTATCCATATAGTGCTTAAATATATGCAAATGAACCTATTTGCACATGTGGGTGTTAGTGTGTCGAGTCTGTCAGCACCTCTCCGAGGTGGGATCCTTGCAGTTCAGGGGGTACTTGAGCTCGATAACATGGCCGTTCCTCTCACGCAGGAGATCCTGTTGCTCGGTGTAATACTGCACCAGCTCGGCCAGCGTGGCAAATTTCTCACCTCCATACAGGTCGTAGTAGTCGCCCGAGTTCTGAATCTTAATGTGAGTCACCTCATCGTTACGCCTGAGGAGGACGACAAAAAAAAAAAAAAAAAAAAAAAGGGGAATCAGTCACTCAGCTAGCAACCATGCATGGAAACAGATGTGAAGTCTCTGCAGAGATGCACTGAGCATTTTTCTGTTTGTATTTTCCTCGTTTGCTTGAACCCTGCAGATATTTAAACATTGAACTCGCACAAACAGCCACCCACACACGTTCATATAGTATACTCACACAAACAAAAACACACTTTGTTGTCCAGCTTATCAAGCCATCTGCTGCCATTTTAAGATGCTGAGCCTCATTTTCTTCAAGAAAAAAAAAAGCAAAGAAAAAAAAAAAAAAACAATCTGCCAATGTGGTGGCATGTGTCATTTGGCTCCTGTTAGTTTCTTGCACAAATTTACCTGATTCTGTTTGCAGGCTTGTCTCTGCAAGCCTGGAGCTTTTCTTGCAAGCTATACAAGTAATAATATAAATAAAATAAGCATATATGAAAAGTCATGTTTAATAGAGCAATGAAGTAGGAAAGCAGCAAGAAAAAAAAACTACTAGACTAAGGAAAATACTGATCCACATCCAGAATATGATTCACTTCAACTTTTATAAACAAAAATGCAGGGCATCCTCCTCATTTTATTGCTTTGTAGTTCCATAGTGTTTGTATATCTATTGTGCTTGGAGGAGGGCTGCATCAGGACTGCAGAACATTAGAACAAAAATGCATGCAGCTGCCAAGCTCAAAGACTGATAAGCCAAAAACCATTTGGTGCCACTTTGCATATTCAAAATCTTCTGGCTGGTTTGAATAGGTGCACATGAATGTGAACACACACACACACACACACACACACACACACACACACACACACACAGTTCTACTATACAAGATATACAGTGGGTACAG